ATTACCGCTGTTTTAGAACATAGAAATGTTGCTATATTGTTTTGACTTGAAAAGAGAGACCAGCAAAGTAGATCTCGAATAAAGTCTGAAAAAAAGAAGGGCAAAGAGCACATTAGTTAAGATTCATATTATTATCTCTAAGACCATTTTACCTTGCACTGGTATCAATGTAAAGCTGAATGTAACACCTTCCTCTTCTTCTTTAAACTCTACTGGCTGACCGTTTTCATAGCCCTTGTCCACTTCCTTTATGGGAGCAATATTTGATTTACGAGTATGGACACCATAATGGTATCCACATTGGTGCTGACCACCTTCAAAACCTATTGCAAGGAACTGTCCGATTTCTAAATAAACACTTGAATCTGGAATTTCAATCATTTTCTCAACGCCTTCCGCCTTCGGTAAAGTTAGCTGACATCGATATAGGATGTTAAATTTGTCCTCATCTGCTGATGATAGGACATATAGCCAAATTTTTGTTTCACGTTCGTTCACATTTTGTGCTGTTTGAAATTTTACTGAAACGTTGCTGATATAACCATTCATGCAAACCGCATCCATTCTACTAAATACCACATTACGACAAAGAACATGACCCGGTACTTCGATACCATGGATTGAACCATATCTATTAACTGAGTAAAAGAAAAAAGAATATTGTAAATGCAAATGATAAGTCATGGACACTTACCAGAATCCCCAGGAAACCTTTTCCTCTGTATACAATAAATAAAGTCAATGAATTAGTTGTAAAGCTTTTTCAACAGCATCCGCTATACCTGTTCAAAATCTTCCTGTTCAAAAGCTAATTTGCCCTTTTTATCCAAATATATTGTATAGTACTTATACTGTCTACCATCCTTTCCAATATTATCATCCTCACCCAACGGTAAAAGATCGGGATTTTTCTATATAGGAGGAAAGTAAATGAATTTAACGTGAATAGAAAAGATGTGCTCAACATAAGATAGATGGTTCTTCGGAGAATGCCTATATCGCTAGAGTCGTAATATATGGATATCTGGGATCTGGGGCTTGTGTCATTGTAAACAGGGAAATCTCTTCTATGTACAGACGATTTTTCAGAGTATCACAATGTAAGTTCTATGAATGGCGACTTTCATATCGAGATGTATACGCTGGCAGACGTCGCCTGGCATGCAGGCTTTTCCACAGATCGATGTCCTTATGTGTCTATTTTCCGAAACTGGAAAGTGCATATTTCTAGCTGCCATCGTTCAAAAGTTATTCAAAAATATCGGAGTGCATCATATTTTAAAACGGAGAGTACATTCGAACTTAGCAGGATCACAACTAACACAGATGGCATCATTTTACAGGAAAAAATTTTCTGAGTACTATTCATGAGGATATGCCTGCAGTAAAATAAAGTAATTTCTACAAAATTTTGCTTATTATACAAACAGCACGGTTCCACTTACAATATTTCGATAATATTTCTTCATTTTAATTAGTCTTCTTAGTCTGTTAAACGATGCACCATAGTTAATTAATAACTCTGTAAATCCTACAGAACCCAGATATAATGCATGTTCTAATCCTTGATCTAATTCATTTTCCTGTTTAAAGTGGATGATCTAACATTACCTTTAAATCGTTGAGTATTCGCAAATTAACAGAAACATACCGTCCATTCCGTTATGATTTTATCATTTAACATACTACTTATGACTAAATCAAATTTATTCCAAGCCATTGCTAATTTTAATTCTTTAATTTGTCTACTTTTTTTTATTGAATCGATGCTACCAGCAGAAATGGATTCTGGCGGTGGCATTTTGGCAGCTAAAAAATTGAGATACCGATTATTTATATATGGTCACACTACAGTTTAATAAGGATAGAATATTCCAAGTGTCCGATGTTCTTCATGCTAACTCACCATTAAAAAGTGCATCAAGTATTGCATCATTTAATTTGTATTCACGATTTTCTGTACGAAATTGAAATATATTGATAAGAAAATAACCATTTGAGGATTTTATCATTTTCACAAATTTATCTTTGTTTGTTTCATTAATAATAATATTCTTTCTTTGTCTGTCCGCGTTGAACTGTTTACTTCCGCTACGTAAAAAAGACAGACAATTATATACTCAAACTTTAACTATCAACAGAGACTCCATCAAGATATTAGCGGTAGCCAACATCTGTCTGATCTCACACTTTGACTTTAGTCTGCTAGATTGAAAGAGCGTATACGATAATAGAGGAAATACAAAATATCTCACTTTAGTGATGTCTCGTTTAGGAGCCTAGAGAGCTCAAGTTAAGCTTTTATCGAAAAACATAGTCTTTTGACCAGCTTGAGTGGACTGAAAATTCTTTTTGAATTATAAAAGCTACAGATCTCTCTCATACATCATTCGAGGGAGAAGATAGCAAGATATTCCGAAAGATAAGGATAGAACAGAAAGAAGCACAGCACGAAGGAACAGTACGCAGTAGATAGAATCGAAGACTTGAGCTCTGAATTCAAATGCAAAGAATGTACTTTTGAACCAAATTGTCCAAAAGTAAACCATGAGGCTACAGTGGACACTCACGTACACATTAAGTGAAAAAATGAAAGCCCAATTTTTCGAGATTCAAATAGTGTCAAATATACTTCGAATCACTGGTTATCTAATGGTAAGGCGCGCGTAATTCAAAAATCAAGTACTATTCTGTTTTTAGCTTTTTTATGTATGATTCGATAGAGAATTTGAAGCTGATCACCAATATCGACTTTTTAGTCTTCCCAGTGCCCGTCTGCACGTCGAAAAATTGAAAATACGGGAAGGCTCTTAAAAACAGAAAAACTTTCCCCTTTTCGAAAAAAGTTGAACACTTTTTCGACTTTTTATTTTGAAACTCTCTAACAGCTGTTTTCTAATTCAGCGTTGAAAATCGAATTCGAAAATGTGCCTTTTATGCTTCCCATATGTAATGTCATTGCACGAAAAATTCATCTTCAAGGATATCTCTAAAGTGGAGACCTCATCGGAAAAAGCTATTTAGTTTTTTTTAGTAAAAGATAGAATGTTCATTCTTGCGCCATTGTAGCGCTCTTTATTTGAACTACAAAAGTATAGCTCGTTCTTTTTCAAATTCCTCTCCATTGCTGAGAAATTTCACTTTTGCTAAATCAGGAGCGAAAAACTCGGAATTCTGCCCGTAATTCTCAATTTTCTCCACTAGAACTCGCTTTTTATGCTATAAAAGTATCATATTCAGAGTCAGCGTCAAAAACTGAGCCGAATGATATATGATTTGAAAGTTTCCGGTGATTTTCACTTTTTGGTGTTTTTATGTTTTTCGAAATTAACATTCTATCTTTTACTAAAAAAACTAGATAGCTTTTTCCGATGAGGTCTCCACTTTGGAGATATCCTTGAAGATGAATTTTTCGTGCAATGACATTACATATGGGAAGCATAAAAGGCACATTTTCGAATTCGATTTTAACGCTGAATTAGAAAACAGCTGAGAGTTTCAAAATAAAAAGTCAAAAAAGTGTTCAACTTTTTTCGAAAAGGGGAAAGTTTTTCTGTTTTTAAGAGCCTTCCCGTATTTTCAATTTTTCGACGTGCAGACGTGCCCTGGGAAGACTAAAAAGTCGATATTGGTGGTGATCAGCTTCAAATTCTCTATTGGATTATATATAAAGAAACTAAAAATAAAATAGTAGTTGATTTTTGAATTACGCACGCCTTAAAAAGCTGTTTATTCTACGTGCCGTAGTTACTGAGAAAACATTTAATGAAAACTTCGTATTAAACTTAGCTCCTTAGAAAAGCGGTTTGGTGACACTCACAGGAACAAATATTATGTTAAAAATCGCTCACAATCTCAAACTACACTTGCCACTTTCATATAAAAAATTTTCTTTTAATCATTTCTGTTAGCAAAAAAAGATTTTGTTTCTGCGCTTATCGTTAGTGCTGTTCAAAACGGATAGTTTCAGTAAAATGAGCCTCCCCTCAACATCCCAACTCGAAATTCGTTCAGGCTTTCGCAGAATGTTCTTCTACATGTCCTCCAACTATGATGAATGCATAAACATGTATAAATGCTCTTGGCTCGTACAGCAAATTTTCCAAAAAACTCTTCGTTTTTTATGTGTTTTTCATTTTTCTTGATTCAGAAACATTTTTTTCAAACGAAAACGACGTATTTGGAATCAGCGCATCGAACTACATCGAATGATATGTCAGTTGTATGTTTTTATGTCCAAAAAATACTTCGATTTAATGGAATGACAGATTTACAGCATTCCTGTAGTAATTTTGGCTAAGCACTAGGATTTTTGATTTAGAAGCAGTTTGAAAGCCTACGAAAACTATTACGAAAACTATTTTCCTAGGTTTTCGCATGCGCTCTTTCCAATGGTGTGGTTTATAAAATTCAAAACAACTTTTAGTTCGGTTTCTCACAGATCGGATCTCTAAAAATCTTGATAAAAATATCTTAAGTCATACTATTGGAAAGACCGCATGCGCAAACCTAGGAAAATTAGAGGCTTTCGTATTACTTTTATGGTACATGTCCATGTGCGTAGTCGTAATAGCCCGCTGTGGAGACATGCTCATCGCCATCTAGCGCACTGCTGTAGTGTGTTCTATCCCCGCTGCTCAGCCCATACAGCTTATATCCTTGATCACTGACCAAAGCCTGCATACTCTGTGATGAGTTACAGAAGAAAGATGTTATAGATAGAGACACGTGTGATATAGGCAGAGAGTGATACAAGTAGTATCGAGGTGATTGAACAAGACTAGACAGTACGTGCTTCCAGAAAAAAAATTACTAGTTTTTTGAATTATAAGAGCTAGAGAGGGGTGAAAACAATATGTAGGTTTGCTTAAGTTCATAAATTAATGATTTTTTGTAATGTAAACTGAATTAGTTACGTCTGAAACATTGATCCAGCTTTGTAACTGCCAGACTATATTGATATCCAACCTTAATAAAGCGAAGTTGAGTGAGAACAAAACTGATAAAAGTCCTAGAGTTTCAGCAATACAGGACATAGTTTACAGGCTTATTAGAATCTTTTCTCACACCTGACCCCTGACGTACCACCAATGTTTATAGAGATGAAAGATTTGCCCATACATCCACAGCGGGCCACCGCAAGTTTATCAAAATTTACGGTGCACATAAACTGAGATGCAATAAATCGTTTTTTGTTATCAAAGTTTGAAAAAAATGCATCAATGAGCTGTTGTTTTGAGGGAAGTTTCTAGCAAATATTTTCAAGAACAAACAATAGTTTCAATTTTTGATCTTATGAGATGGTTGTCAGTGTGTTATGGTGTCTAATCTGTAAATTGTGTGCAAAGCAGACTTAAATGGAAAAAGTTACAAGATCAGAAGTTCAAAGTACAATGCTGTTCTATGCTTAAAAATAATAAACCACTCTCAGAACCTCTTTGTATATGAAAGGAATAAAAGTGAAATAGTAGGTTTTATTCAGAAATTTAGTACACTACAAAAACTCAATAACCATTCAGTTCATCACTTCTTTTACTTTGCATAGAATGAGAAGCAACGTGGCCGTTTGAACACTTTTCTCAGCTAGCTCAAACTGGTCAACAGACTATGTTTTTCGATAGAAGCTTAACTTGAGCTCTCTAGATCTCCTAAACGAGACATCACTAAAGTGAGATATTTTGTATTTCCTCTATTATCGTATACGCTCTTTCGATCTAGCAGACTAAAGTCAAAGTGTGAGATCGGACGGGTGTCGGCTATAATCGGTATTTTAGTGGTACCTCGGTTAATAGTATTTTTGGTTTTAGTTATCCCACTTTACTTACAGCTCTTCTATCTTCTCTTTGTTCTTTTCAACAAGCTTTTTGTATTCGTCCAATGTTCTCTTTTCTTCACTATCGTAAAGATTTTTATATTCACGTGCAATCAGATCCGCTGCTCTACCCGTGCCCTTCAACAGGAGCAACAAAAACAATATCAACAGTATAGACAACCGAAGCTGCAAATTACTTCCAAAGAAATATGTTCTACTGTAGTTCATAACTTACGTCAATAACAATTAATGGTACGCCAGAACTAACTGCTTCACAAACAGTGTCAATGGAAAATATACCACCTTCGACTAATATCTGAACCATTGATATAGCAGTAGCTACAAAAAATCAATAAATTGCCTGCTAGTTCGGAAAACTAAAAATAGTGACGGTGACCAACCTTGTGTCATTATATTTCGTGCTTTTTCTTCTATTTTAGCCGCTACTGTCGTTATAATATTCTCGACTATGCTGTTGCCCTTGTCTAACAATATAAAATGTGTATGATTTGGTTCCAGTGGTGCACTGGATGGGTTTTCGTCTACAAGCGGACGTCTAGTTCGATATAGTCTCAAACGCTTCGACGAGTTTACATTGTTGTTATCCTAGTTAA